CCACCTCTTATTGGATAAAGGAAGACGCCTATTAACTTTACTCCAACTCGACTTAACTGCTGCCCTGTTCTAACCCCACCATCACAGCGTCCAATCAATCCAAGTACCGTCTTATACACTTAAAAAAAAAAGTCTTGGTTTCGTTCCATGAGAAATTCAAGCTAGGAAACCGAAATACAAAGAGCTTGACGACCATGGTTCTGATCGTTGCCTACGAAATCCATCTACATTCCTATCCAATGCCTACGAGATAAATATGGTACGAAGCGAGATGCATGTTCTACTTTCAATATGAAGAAAAGACGCGGAAATTATTAAGACTTCACCCAACGATTACATGAAATCACTAACCTGAGAGAGATTCCGCGGTAAATGTGACATAACCTCAAAGCCCCTCAATGCTGCCATCTGTAACAATAATTTTGCCTTTTGTTTAATGAAAATGTTGTGTACGCGTCTCTACAAAGCCACATCCTACCTTCAAATTTCGAGCAAAATAATCCCTTCGGTCATCATCATTAAACTAGAAGCAATATGAAACATTTCGAAAAGCAGCCATGTTCTTACGTCCTACGGCCACGTGTTACGTGACGCTCACATCCGCCATTTTGTTAACAACAAATAACAAATGATATAACGTTAACATTTGTACCAAATTTCGTGAAATTCAGTAAACTGGTTCAGATGCTTAAATCTGGAAACACTAAAGGCAGCATAGTGACCTAATAACTCTATACAAGATTTCTGAACCTACCTCAAAGAAAACACAACAAGTCCCCATTACCAAACATCAATCAGTTAGCGTTCTTTAGTAAAATATTCACTGTTTATTCTAAAAATCGTACGAAATACACAAACACTGTCGGCAAAACGCAGATTTCACGACTGTTAAGGCAGGTGGTACACACGATAAGGCTGGCACTGTGTTTCAGAGTAAAAATGAAATAAATATTTAATTATGTTTCCATGGGACATTACACTGACGAGTTAATTCAAGACACAAAACTTGTAAAATGACTCTCTTACCGCTCGGAATGGTGCAAACACCTATCCATAATCAACAAAAATCCGGGTTAAACAAGCCTAAACGCAAAATTATCAAAAGTGTGGAAATTTAACAACTGATTACCGGGAGTTAAAAATAAACGCACTTGATTACTAATCGACTAGGCTCTCCGTAATTAAAAAGGCCAGCAAATGTGACCCCTGCCTATTGTCAGGTCGGCCAAATACGCACGTGGGACGGATTGATTAGAAGGAAACATTACACTGTCAAAGCACCATAATGGTCTAATTCCTGTATAGATTAACAATTAATTACAAAGTTTTCTAGTTAAAGCGTTTGAAAAATTAATACCCCCCCCCTCCCTTTTCGGATTAGCGAATTTCCACCGGAACATAAGCACGCCACTCTGTAACTCAGGCAACACCGATTGCTGTAAATTAAAAAATCACCAATTTATGTTCAACGACGACACACAGCATAATTCCACGCACACAAAACTCTGCACTAGACGGAGATGACTAGCTTCACGGCACGGCCGATTTAACCCCCTGGGAAACAACCCCGATATCACTAGCTGAGCCCCAAAGGTTTAGATACGGAGGCCAGATAAGGACCTTGTCGTTCTGGAGGTCGAACACAGACCTTCCAGCCTGCAGGCGCGCTAATATCCTGACTTAAATATCTCGACCCTTTCGATATGCCCCCACGGAGGACGTAGAATTCGGCCATTGCAGTGCGTACGACTGTACACGCGGTGGGGTTCACGATGGAAGTTTTATCGGCAAACCCATCAGATTTCTGCTGCTTGTTGCAAATCGTATCTCAACAACTCGGGTACAACTGCGAAGATATTTAGACAAGTCAGTGGCTAAGTAAATGTATAAATTCATATAAACTAGAGCGACATTGATTTAAAACGTTAAAATATCAGAAGATAACTGGTATATGTTTCTGATTAACAATCCACACACCACTTCAAACGCCCGTATGTAAAGGTTCCAATTTTTTTTTATTGGTATGAAACAAGAGTAGACGCGGAAATTATGTGAAGAACTCACTTGTCTCCAATCGGTCTGTCCGCCCGCGTCATGAATAAAGCTTCATTTCCGACAATACGAGGTGCGATCGGAAAGTTTCAAGACTGCGCGTATAAAAACCCGTACACTTATCTCAGGCATTAAATTCATCCATCACCCTCGAATTAGTTCCCCTGGGAGTGAACACAACGATCCCAGCGCCGCTGCCAAGCCT